GTTTGTTTTGGCTTGCCACGTGGTCCGGTCATGGCTTCATGGGCGTTGGCTCGCTACGCACGATCTGCGGGTGGTGCAAAAACCTCATGGTGGGGTGCCTGCTATTCTTCAACAGGGGAGCTTCCAACGTCTGGCCATTCTGGCTTTGTCTGGGAGGACACTCAGACGAGGATGAACATGCGTTAGATTTGCGCGTGATTGTCGTGGATGATGATGATGATCATCGTGCTGTCACGTCAGACGCCGCTTGATTGTTCCTGTTTGCTGGGGATTAGAAATCGTGGGCCATGTTCATCACTCTTAGTCTAGATCAGACCGTTTTTGCCTTGAAGACTAAAGTTAAAGCCTAAGGAATCGACTCATGAGATGCGTTCCAGTTCTCACGCAATGCCCGCTGGCAGTGGCGTTCAAACTCCTGAGGAGGCCATGAACTTTAAGAAAGTAAGTCTTATGCATCCGTACGCGTCGCCCCCTTGTTTCTGAAAACTTACGTGTGGATTCCTGGAGGTCAAGGCTACTCCTCCTGACACAAGTCTAGCCCGTCTTCATGATCGCAGCAGCAGAGAGGCCCAAGAGTTACTTTACCGCTTCTATAGGTTCTTTCCTTCTTATTGCAGAATTTGGTGTAGTTCTAAATCTGCTTGAAGGCGGCTGTTTGTGACTTTGGTTCTACAGGCCCTGCAGGACAATCCGTTCAAAATGAATTTGAAGAGATCGAATTGAACACACCACTTTTATATCATGTATACAATTCAATGTGGCCTGGAGGAGCTGCGCCGAGCAATGGCAGAAAACGAACTCGAGCATCAGCAGGACGGCAGCTTCACTTCTTTTTTGAACAACTTTGTTCCAACAAGACTTCAACCAACTTTCACAAAAAGTGTTTTAGAGGATCGCAGTATAATACTGAGTGATGGCAGCTTCCGATTCTGGGGCGGAGGAGTGGAAACAGATGATCCAGCTACTACTCTGAAAGCCCTCCGCCGGCTTAAGAGCACAGCCAATTTGGATTGAATTGTTTCGACAGCGATGCATCCCTTAATGATTGATGCGTTTTGCACAATTCATTGTTGGGTCTTCCAACAATTCAAGATGCTGCACATCCGATCGTAATCGTGAGAAAATTAGGGACATCAACAACACATCATGTGTCGTGCAACTTTGTTACTGCTGTTCGCTGCGTCGTACAAAGAAGTCTTAAGGCTAGGCTTAGGTTTGAAGCGCAGAGTCGCTTCATAGTTGAAACCAAATATTGATACAATATCACTGTGGTTCAAAGCGCGTAGCCTACTACTAGACCTATGATCCCAGTGATTGTTTCTAAGTCTCTCAATCTCTTCGCATTTTCAGCGCATCAGGGGCTGGTTGAGGGGTTAAGCAAGTCCAACACTGATCACACACAAAAATGTATCGAATTTGGGGGAGAAAAGAAAAGGCGCACTTATTAACTTGTTGCTAGACAGTAGTTTGCGCCATGTCATTGCAACTGGTGGTTGCTACTCTGTCGGACGATGAAGGCACTGAGGCTGATCATCCGCCACAGGAATGCGAGCGTGCCATTGTCGCCAAAGAGGAATCAACACCGCCTCGCAGGAAATCCAAGGCCACAGTGCGACTGACTGCTGCCCAAACCCGTGGTTTGCTTGGGCGGTTGGTGTGTCAAACTTGCAGATGCTCTACTACCCGCAGTGCAGCCTCTGCGCACCAGAAGCCGTGTTTGAAGCAGTTTCGATCAAAAACAGAATCGTTGTTTCAATTGCGGTGGCGCCTGCACTGTTTGAGCAAACGAGACATGGACAACGAGGTGGTTTTGTAGCCAAGAAGTGGTTGGTTTTTATTTGTTAAGTAACAGACGTTAGCATCGAGTTGGAGTCGGTGTTGCGTCACACGCTTCTGTCGCGGCGCCCTATTAGGTGGTCAACATGCTCAAATGCAAGGACGCACAGGTTGAGGAGAAATTGGAGGCCACGAGCTCGGCGTCCGGGTTACGCAGAGAGTACCGTAGTGAGCACCGTATATTAGGCCACAAGGTCTGTCAAGTTGCTTTCAAGAAGATCCTGGGGCTAGGCAGCGGTAGATTTGCCCGATTGAACCAGGCTGCTAGGGCAGGATTGAATGCTCCAGAAGACGGTCGCACCCTACCAAAGAAATTGCTTTTGGTCTCACAGAAAAGGTCGTTACAGAAAAGATCTTGCATAGTAGAGTTCCTGGAGCACATCTACAACACCATGTCGGAGCCGATGCCGGAAGCCAAAGACTGCTTGAAACGTAAGTTTGCCCATGAGATTGAGATTGAAGCGTCAAAGAAACCAGTTCCGAAGAAGATGCAATTCCGCCGCCTTCGGGGAAAGAGACCCAAAGCGGCCCGGAATTTGAACCGTGGCCACAAAGATGCTTCTGCACTCCGTGTGTTGCCACCTGGCACGTTTTCCGAGTACTTAGAGCTGCTCAGAGCAAAGTACCCTGGTGAGACCTTTTCGCTCAAACTTTTCCAACATGACCCCTGATTATTTGAATCAGCAAATTTGCTATGTATTTTCGACGTCGGGCTGGCCCGCCAGATTTGACCCTAGAACGTCCACGGAACTTCTTTGTATTTTTACACGTTGAAACAGGATTGGGCCATGAAATCAAATCTGACCCCCACAAGTCCTACACTAAACCCATTACTTTGGAGGGACAAATGTGGAGGTCTGATTCAATTCCATGACCCGCCAATCCAAGTGAAAATTTAATTTGGCAGAGCTGCGTCTATTTATTGAACTTGGTTAGGGGTTAGGCAGGGGTCAGTGCTGTAGAAGATCGGCCTAAAGTTGCGACTCGGCAATGGCAACTTTTTCTCCCAGTGCCAGGCTGATTTGAAATTACACCATTTTAAGTGTTTGATGGTTGGAAGCATTACTTTGTTGAGTCATAGTCAGCGCAACCACGCATTGACTGGTGTTTTTTGACTCCTGGCCTGGCCATGTTGTATAATAAACTTTCGGTTGCAGTGACCAGGTCTGGAGCACTTCCTTTGGGACACGGCTTGCCATTCGTTTGCAGCGGGCCCACGCACAATGCGGGGTGTGCGTCAGGCACAAGCTGTTGATCAAGAAGTTGGCCGGTGACTCACTGGCTAAGCAATGCCAAATGGCAGAGTTCGAACGGCATTTACAGCGGCAATACAGCGATCGCACCATTTACTGGGCTGCCCGTTCTGCAAGCCGCATTCTTTCCCTGCCGAGTGGTCGGAGGACCATTGCGATGATCACTGATGCGATAGACCACGGGAAATATCGCTACCCAAGGTCACAGGTCACAACGAGCAAAGAGCTGTCTGGGTTCTTGCGTCCAGCGATGGACTGCACGACAGTCATCGTTCATGGACATTTGGTCCTGAATGCGCTCAGTGAACCGTACCTTCGCAAGGACAGCTCATGGTCGACGGAATTACTATCCCATGCGATTCACTCCTTGCCTTTGGACCTCCGCTCTGCGGAGGTCGCAATACAGTCCGACAACTGCTCCCGGGAGACCAAAAACAATACGCTGGCCAGGTGGGCCGGTACCATGGTCGGACTTCACCGCGTTCATCGAATGGAACTGCGGTTCCTCAGCACAGGGCATTCTCACGAGGATGTGGACCAATACTTCTCGGCCATGTCCAACATGCTAGAAAGACACTGCGAGCTGCATCGACCCTGTGACTTCATCGAAGCTCTTGAGGGCTGGCTCTCCGATCCTAGTGTTCGTCCTCACGAGCCCTTGAGGTCCTCCAAGCTTGTGGGCCGCGTGCGTAACTGGCACCTTGTCTCCCTTCGTGCAAGTGTTTGCCTTGTTGTTGCTTTGATGTTTCTTCCATTCCCTACACTGCTGACTAGAGGATTCCATCCTCGAACGGTGTTGGTGATTTTTTTTGTTGTTCCTTTGAGCGTGTGTTTGATTTGTTGTTTGAAGATCCAGCTCTAGTAGCGGACCAAGTCTTCGCAGCTTCAAGTGTGAACTTTCTATGATGTTTAATGACTACAACTAAGGTGCTACTGTCGGGTCTGGTGACGGTTGCTCCAATCTGCTCCATTTGCTGTCAGGCGGGACTACCTCCATCTTCGATGTGAAGATAACCACCTCGCTGGCATGACAGGGCCGGGCGCGCCCCATGTGTTTGCGTTTGACCGCCGCAGTGAGCTACCAGGCAAGATTCTTTGTGGTTCTGTGCGCTACTGGTTTCCGACTGGAGGTGTCTTTGAAATGAACGCACCTGGATATTTTTCCCCGTTGGCCAGTTGAGATTCAACGCACCATCTTGAACACGTTTTGGACCGGGGATGATCCCCACGATGATGACGTGGTGCTGAGGAGGGATTGGAAGCAATTCACCTTGATGTGTGTTTTATCCGATCATGTAGTAGCAGTCGATATTTTTCATATTTTTTCATATGATCTTGTCAGGGCCAAGGCCCTGACTGGACACATATCGTTCTTCGCCAGGACAAAGATGTTCATGTCCGATGCGACTTGGTATCAGGAACCAATAGTATATTTACCCGCCAGGGTGATACGGAAGTTGGCATTCTCCGGTGCAGTTCCAGGAGGCCAGTGGAGCGTGAAATATCATCGCTTCGTCCGACTTCGTCCTTGGTTGTTTGTAAGTTAAGCTGCAGCGTTGTAAGTATATGGTTACCTAATTCCTGAACCCAAAACTGCTGCTGCTCCCGTCCAGTTGACAACGACGATAGAGAGTCACACGCCAAGATGGCTGATAATTGGAAGAAGTACGCTGCTGTGATCGGCGCCCTGCTCAGTCAAAACAACACACGTACTATTTTGTCGCTAATATTTGTTTCTTCATACAACCTTTTGGAACCCAAGGGAGTCACCCCTACGACATGCACGATGCTGCGCACCATTTGATCCAGTTGGCTGATGGGACAGTTGATCGCGGAGGGCTGCTGGAGGTGACCAGGTGCATTTGGGCATATTATTATGTTGAACCATGGTTCAAAAACCCAACTTGAACAATGGTGGACGATTCACACACCAGTTGCGGTGTAGTATCATGCACTGTTGACTCGCAGTTCTTGAGTATTGAGGAAAGTTACTTACCAAGTTATAATCATTTTTCAGTTACCTTTCGTAGGTGTCTTCCTGCTCCTGGGCCCGCTGTTGGGCTTGGTTTGGACGGAGACCGGGCTCGTCGAGGTCAAGACTTGGAAGCCGAATCTTGGCCATTGACTCCAATCACACTTCAAGGTGTTTCAAACTACTTGAATGCGCTCAGATTCCCAAACATAGTGATTCTATCAAGTCATTCATTACCTTGCTCAACTATGTTTCGCCAACACACACACATTGAAAACATGTTTGATGTGCCCTCGGACGTCTCAATCACAATTTGACGGTTCAAACACAACATGACGATCAACCTCATGCGGGTGAGTTCATTGTGTGAGGAGCCGAACAGGTTGCGCATGACGCGTGAACGCATGAGCCGGGGACGACTCCGTTCTTATCGTAGCAAGACCCGCAATGTGAGAATTTACCAAGCCGCTGTCCGGTTGTGGGGTGCTGGGCTCCTTTGGAGCACAGCCTTACAAACTGCCACTGACGCCTTTGATGAGGCTGAGGCTGACGACTGAGCTGTTTTTGATGGCCCCTGCAATTCGTTGCCTCGGAGTGTTGGTTGTTGTTGTTTGTTGTGAGCATTCAGCTGAAACAGGTGAAACTCTTTGCATTTTGTTTAGATTGAATGCATGTAGTACTCTTTTGTTTATGGGTTGTTCTGCTGTGTAGTGTTGTCTCGAGCGGCGGGTTGGCGGGTCAGTTTCACTTTGTGAGGGTACAAATCCTCAGACTTCACCCCTAATAGAGGCAGGTGTATTTTGTTGGTGCTGGTCACTGGCAGCAAGCACGAAACTACGGTCTCAGCAAAGGGTTTCCCAGGTTTCACTCGCGCTGACGGACCCTTCACCAGATTTTCCTGTTTTGAGCATGGTTTATGTGCTTGTGGCTGGTGACCAGAAGGGGGAAAATGGTAGTGTGCGAAGTGATGCAACTTTATGTTGCAACTGACAGTCAGAAATACCCAAAAGGGTCAAAAAATTTGGGTGCGGCATGGACATTTAGGGGGGCTTTCTCAACAAAAAACATAACGCAACACACACACACTAAGTAGATGTAAAATTTCAATATGTGCTGGATGTCAGCGACATCAAGCACAAACAGGGTGTCTATCCATGTGGAACGTCAGAAACCACCCTTGCATCATCGGGGATCGTCGCAATTCTTGTTGGTGCACTTGTCAGCCGTCACAAATTCCTTGTTGCGAGCTCAAACACTATCAGATCTTTTTGTTGAGCTTTGGGTTTGTGCCCGTGGCGGATGGCATCAAGCACAAATCAGTCTCAGCAGGAAGATTTGTGACGGGGACAATCCAAGGAGTTCATTTTTCTGACGGGCGTGTATGTGTGTTGGTCGTTTTCTGACGTTGAGCTCCGCTCACATTTCAATTTCTGACGGCTGCCAGGTCCAGGCCCGACGGAATCTGAGTCTGAGCTGACTCTGAGATCATCCAGGCAATGGCAAGGCATGGTGAAGCCAGCAGGCAATTAGCAGAACGCCGTACGTGTTTGGTGTAATGCTTTCTAATTACTGTATTAGCGCTAAAGTTTGTTCCCAGTTGTTTTAGTGAGTGGCAATTAGCTACTCTGGAATGAGCCGGGCTGTTGCGCAACAAAAGTTCACCACAGCTTTCCAACGGTCATTGTTAGCTGTTAGATGTTCACTTCGTGAAACTGTGTTTGTGCTATAGGTCCATCGCGCAACCAGTCAGTTGCACTTCTGCTCACTTCTTGAGGTTCAGCTCAGCTCAAGCCAGTTTTACTGTGATTGCCTCCGCCACACTGTGTGATCGGATGGGGGGGAAGCGAAAATCTGGCGATGGCCCCGGTCGATCGGCTCCTAAAGTTAAGGCAGTAAAGGTGGAGGATGCAGGGGGAGCATCCGCAGCGGAGTTTGAGTATGTGGAGCGCTTTCGCCAATGGTGGCAGGGTACTAAGTCAATTGTTTTTTATGTATCCTTCCTTTCGCACATATGTCTTTTGATATCTTGCAGTTTTCTGTCACATGGGCGTAACACTTGACATCAAAGGTCAAAGGCAACCGAGCAGGAGGGTTCCATGGACACCTATTTTTCCAAGAAGCTGCGTGACAAGGACTCCATTTTTATGTGTGTGTAACAGTTATGTTACAGCCGACCCAATCCTGTCATCCCTGTTTGAAATTGTTGGAGTTTCAACCATTGATGCGCGTTACAGGACGCCATCATGAAGTTTTTGACCTGGCAAGATGCGACCTTTCCGCGACTTTCTGGGGTGTCTTGCTCTCAGGGGATAGTCAGTTGTGTGCGAACCCACAAATGTTTGGAGCTCTTCCATGACTTGAATGTTCCACAGGTCGTACGGAAACCGATCCCAACTGGAAAAAGTTGGGGCCATCTGCTTGCGCAGTTGGAACATGCCTTGGTCGTCATCTTGTGGATTGAAGGGACTTGCGGAGCCCGCTGCTGGCCTTTGCTTGTGCTGAACAGTTTCTTGTGTAACAATTTGCGCCATGCAAGTTTAAGGGTCAACGTCCGTAAATTGAAGCACATTTATTCAGGACGTGGTGCTTCAGTTGTCGGAGCTCATCCTACTCAATGGCATGCAAACAAATTCAAATAATCCAGGGACAGAACGTTTGACCGTCAGCGCCCTTCGTCCGGACTTTGGCTTCAAGCCAGACATCCCTTTGAGCGTGGATGACATGGGCACTGGAGTTAAACATTGCGATGGTTGCGTTGAACCTCATGGAGTCTTCTTGGTGAAGGGGTGGACACGATGCTATGCCATGAACGTTGTGCTCCTGTTTCTGTTTGAGACGCCGGACAAATTGAAGGCCCCTAGTATCAAATCTGATTTGCGTTGATCTTTGGCTGTTCATGTTGCACTTGACTTTTAGCATGCATCCAGCGTCCATTTAACCTTGTCGCTAAAGGAGCTTCCGTCCTGTGTGCATGAGATCCTTGACATCGAATTAGACCTGAGTTCAATGTAATGCCCTCGCAACTCTAGCACTGAGCTCCAAATTCTGCCGTAGCCCAGGAGCTTTGGCGTATTGTGCTGCAATGTCACAGTTGTTGCTGGCGACGACAGCCCATCGTTGCTGGTGTCCCAGAATCGTGAGATCACGATGGCGTCAGCTCTGCGTCGGAAACCCAACGCATTCACACTAGTACATCAAATGCGCATGCTGCGGGCCATGAAGTTGTGTGAGCGAGAGGATTTGGAGGATAGTTTATTTTGTTTGATCGAATTTTGTTTGTGTTGTTTCAGAGGGTAAACGTGACATGCTGTCCTGAACCTCTACTCTCTATCATATTATATGTGTATGACAGGACTGGACCCGAGCGTCCCAGATTGCTGAAGCATACAAGATCGGACGGGCGGAGAGCAATGCAGCATTGAATTTGCTCAACAACATCGACAGTGCCACTGTTGATCGCCTGACTTCGTTGGTCAAGCTCATCGGCTTAACCTTAGACTCTAAACGGCCCCCATGTTATTGCGTAAATACACTACAGAAGTGGTTGGCAACTTTTAGCAACCGGACAATGACCCACATGGACGAACTACCGCATGCCTATTTTACACGTTGCGCATCGGACGGACATCTTGCAAGGCAGTTTACCATGGTCAAGTTCATCACGCGCGATGCGATCGGCTTGTTCAACAGAGATGCCTGCACAGCCAACCCGGCAACCACTGCATGGCAGGCAGATTTGCTCAACACTCCGGTCATTGTGGGACTTTTGTGCGACCGGCTCCACGCAGATTACGAGAACACTGCGCAAAAGTTTCGCAAACCATATACTTTTGCCCAGGTGGATTCTCAACTTAAACTTAGCGTGGATTTTTTGTTTTGGTAGCAGCGTTTCAGGAGCCTGAGTTTCAGACCCGAGCCGGATGTAAACAGCTGCCACTGTCAGTGACTCGGGTTGCCCTATTGAGGAAAACCTTCAACGCACATGCGCCGCCTTCAATGCCTGTTGGACCGCATTTGCGAAGCAGTTTCCAGTCGAATTCGTGGCCCGTGAGGAGAGCGCGATCCGCCGGGCGTTGCTTGAACTAATCAGTCCATGTGTCTAGCGAAATCATTGTGTGAATTTGAAGTTTATCCGCAAAAGTTTAAAGCGCAACCACTTGGATTCATCCAGAGAGCTTCAGGTTTTTGCTTCGCCACAGCGACAACGATCTACATAATCTTTTGATGGATTCTGTACCGCCTTGCGATTTGCAGAAGGTTGGGATATTCAGGGCGGCGTGCGCCAAGTACGAGAAGCAGGCTTGCTAGTGCGTGTCGGTGCAAGTGTCACAGTGTGCGGCCGTGATTCAATTTTGATTCCCCACTGCATTCCAACATGATGGACAGGTAGAGGATTCCAAGGCTGTGGCAGAAGAAGAGTCATTTACTTAGCTAGTTTTGAATTCTCCTTCACATGCCTTCAATGCTTCCGAGTGTCACGTGCACGGCTTGTTTGTCAGGTTGGTTGCTCAGCTGGCCAACTCAACTATGCTTCGCACAGAAGCTCAGGCGCTTGAGGATTTTGCACTGATGGAGAGATTCACTGAGAGGGCTCAAGCCCATGCCAACAAGCAGGCGAGATTCAACCATGTTTTCTGACTAACTTCTAGTATTTGCATTCTTTTTCATGTCAGGTTTTAGGTCAGCCCCGGTTCGTTCCATTGTTGTTTGGAGTGGCCAGAAGGCTAGCAGGAGGTGACGTGTTGTTTGTTAGATGACCATGCGTTGCAGGGCGGCCTCGACCTCCGCTACTTGACCGCCAGATATGAGAAGGGGCGTGCATGGACCAACAAGTTTTTGGAGGAGCACCATCAGCATATCCAGGTGAACTCCATGCCTGACACGCACGCCGAGCTTCTTCGCTTTCAGTCTGCTCATTCTGATAGTAGCGATTCGTCACTCGGCCATCAATTGACGGGTGACGGAAATGGAATTTGTTTTTGTTGTCACAGTTGTTTTATATAATGCTTGGAATGGCGGATTGTTTGTGGCAGGTGGGTCTTGTTGATCATGGATTGCTCCGTGTTTCCATCCCGTAACCGTGCAGCAAGTTGGTGTAGTATGTGCGTTGTTTGGCGCTGGCTAGCTGCTGAGTTAGAGCTTCGTTCAATGGCTGCCTCGCTTTTTGCGAGGTTCATTGGACATGGAAGACGCGTGCGAGGTCGCAAGGTCTATTTGCGCAACCAACCCCAACGCAGCCTTGTTTGTGCTCTTTCCGGTCTACCACTCATCAGTGGAAAAATCTTCGACAATAAAGAACCGAAGGTTGATTGAAGATCGCTTGCTTCAGTGTTCTGGCACACAGCTTTAAGTGTACCCAGGTTCTTGTTTCGCAGCTATTTAAAGCATGTTATATATAATATCTAATATCGTTTTGATTTGAATTGGCAAAAGAATAGTAAGCCGAGCGAGGTTCATGGAGCTTCACGAGGTGTGCGTGAATTTCAAGGAGGCACAGCATGGGAACGACCGCAGAAAACGGAGTCATCAAGGTACGAGTCCTAGTGTTAAGACATCAAAATTGGTTGGTTCCTGATGATCCCGTTTTGCTCCTGACCATTGTTCGGATTGTTCGGTGCCCC